AGAGAGAGAGAAAGAGAAAAAAAAAAATACATCTAATATTATAATTTCAATAAATATACACAATTTTAAAGTTTCCAAATACACAATAATAATTGAATTTTTCTAAGAAATTAAAAAAAAAAAAATTCATTTTTCACTAAGAAAATTCAATAGTGACCATATAAATTTAGCTTTTGCTCAAAACAGAGAGACTTGCTATAGCTGACTTGCATCAGTTCAGCTGAATCAAAATCTAAAATAATGGTAGTTTAAATAAACCAATATTTAACAATTTAAAGCATAAAATACAACAGAAATATTTATAATTTAACTTTGTTTAGGATTAAAATAATGACCACAGTGTTCACATAAACATTTAATATTTAAAAGAAAAAGAAACTATATATGAATTTTGTGTTGCATACCATCAGCAACATCTCGAAATAGATATAACTACTAAATCTTTAATACTGCATAATCACATTGATGTACATTGTTGGTATGAATTTGACTGTAATATACAGCTGAGTCTTTTTAATTTGAACATGACGGAAGCTTACATTATCAAAAATTTAAATTATTTTTAAAAATTAAATTAGGCAGTTTTATGCAAGTTTCTAAAGTTTATTATATTCCATATTTTTTGGCATTATTATATTTTATCTTTACTTTCTTTTCCACACTTCTATTCACTCAAATTTTTTAAGCTAAAGATAAACACCTTAGCAATTTCCAGCAAAATCTTAATAATTAAAAGCATTTTTGATCTCTTTGATGGATCTGCTTCAGCTGCTTACAATGTTTAAAAAGAACAAATTTACTATGCAGGTTAAAGTTTTCACAATTATAACTAATATACAAATTTTCATGCAGTGAACAATAAGTCTGTATCATGGAAGTTATGCACCCCTACAACTTATTTGTTTTGCAAATTTCAAGGAATTCCAAATGTTTCAGATTATATAAGTTGATTACTAGTTGTGTGATCTTGGGAGTCTTCCACAGTACTGTACCTCTACATCAGTTTCTATTGCACAAAAAGAATGTACAACATATATGTTCTTTTATGATTTGGTTTTAATTTTTGAATCACTCAGATATTGAATGTATTTGTTATTTTTATATGTTGTAAGCAATTGAAGCAGATCTATCAAAGTTGAATAAAATTGCTTTTGATTATTAAAATTTTGCTGAAATTTGTTAAAAGCTGTGTTTTTAACTAAAAACTTGTTTAAACGTCTAAACAAAATACATACAACTCCACTATCTAGAGGTAAAAATCACTAAAACTGTAAAATATGACAATTTCCATATCCGAATAGAATATGAATTTTCAAAGATTCTCTGAAAGCCATACTATCTATAAATGAGATGCTTACGTGCTACTTACTGTTTTTGATGTTTATTTTAGAAGTACAAGATGCACCTTGCTTTAAATTTATCCTAAAACAAATATACTAACTGTATCGTTTAAACATTAATTTAAATACAAATTTCAAGGGTACAGGTTTAAATTATCTAATAATTTGAATTGGTCAATTTCAAATTAATAAGATTCAATAGCATATGAAAATAATCTTTAGAACTCCTTGTAACAAATATATAATGCTCAAATAATGTTCTACAAAATAAATAATATGATATTAAAATAAAATTTATTAAAATACTTTCAACTTTCTAACATTGAAGATTTAAACAGAATTAATCAGTAAACAAAATACGATCAAATTACAAATGTTTTTCTTTATTTTTGAAATAATTTAAAAATTTGTATTTACAAATTCTAGTTATTGTAAACTCTCAAATATTAGAGAAGACAAAAGTATTTTAATAATATTTTATTTTCAATATGTATTTACAATATATAAAAACAGTATTAAAATAAAATATTCTATAAGCATTTATTTAATATATAGTATAGATCAATTTGAATTATTTTCTCTAACGAAAATAATTCAAATTGCTCTATTTTTCTCCTTAAACAAGTTTTATGAAAACACAAATCAAAACTTTTTGATGAGAAAACAGTTTTGCTCATTGTTTTTAGTACATATTAATATTATAAGCTTTTACAATTTTTGCTTGAACTAGTCTTAAAAAACAAGAAAAGAAAATATCAATTTCCAGATAATTGAGAAAACAGATCAATCTACACTACAAAATATATCGTCTTCCGGTTCCGCATTATCAAATTCTACTTAAAAGTAGGTCTTTGCCACTCAAATCTTTTAAAAGATAAATGAACTTTAAAGTAAGAGAGAACATGTAAATAGTGACATGTAATCAATTCACTAAATTGCAGTTAGATGACATCATATGCAATTTAGTGCTTGATTTAATTATTTTAAATATGTGTTTTTAAAAAAACAATGCATTTACATTTTGTTTTTTACAGTCAATTATTAAACATTATTAAAGATTACAGAGAAACAAATACACTAAATGCTGTTAGAGAGTTCACCTGTTTATTGTGATTTAAATATTTTTCAAGATAACTGATCCCATCTTCAAAATTCTAGATTCTAAAGACGGGTTAAAACTTTTTTTTTGTTTTAGATTTTATGTTTAATTTGTAATGTTGTAATGAAATTATAAAATATTGGGTTTTGAGGTGTTTATATACATAATGTTGTAACCTTTTAAACGTGATTTGGTCACGAGTTTCAATTGTTTTAATATTTTAATTTTGTAATGCATCATCAATTATTTTTAGAATTTTGTCACAAGTCAATGATTTTAATATTTGTTCAAATCATTATTGTTCTTTTGTTTTAACTCGTGACTAGAATTTAAAATCAGCATATAACCCATACCTTCTTTCAAATGCTTTGTTTTATGTAGAAATTCTAATACTAGCAAAATGTTTGGTTTAATACTTTTTCATCTTTTTTTACAAACTCTAGTACAAAGCATTCCTCTAATTTAACAACAAAACATTTATTTAACCTCATTAAAGGATTTAAATAGGATGATAAATTTCCGAACAATGACGACGATTATTTTTTAAGTTATAAATAAAAAACAAAGTTAATTCATTAGGAAATTTTAAGGTTTAGATTATGCTTATGCTTAATAATATTTAAAATTCCTTAATTTTAAGCCAGAGTTATAAACTTTTGAATTTAATTCAATTTTGTAAACAAGTTGGAATTTCTTAAAGATGGACAAGATACTCAAAAATATTTGAACTTAATTAAACTTATTTACATTTTAAAGCAAACTGTTCTTTGAAAAATTTAATTACATGAAAAAAAAATAGTAATTTATCAAATTCAAATCTGTTTATTGGTGAAATCTCATTTTGTTTAACAGTTTGAATTTAATTTCCATTAATTTTATAAATTTCCTCCAATGTTTGCTTAGAAAAATTATGTAAGAAAATAAATTATTCAGAAGTCTAGAAAATTTAAATTGCATAAAGTTTTTCTCAAAATCTAATTTTGANTTTTAGAAAACTTAAAAATTTATAAACAAATGTTTTTACAATTTCAAATTTTAATGCATTTTATTTTATTAAAAATTTATGAAGAACCCCACACCTTTCTTATGGAAAAATGAGTTTAGGTGAAATTGAATAAAAATAAAATATGTAATTTATGAGGTCTTGTTCAAAATTTTCCCAATAGTCAGATGGCTTGAAACTGGACCTTTTTTATTACAGGTTCTTAGTGTGCAATTCACAAGGGAAAGAGTTTGGTGTTTGTAAAATGAGGAAATAACAAACCATGGATTATGTATTATCATTAATACTTTAACACAAACAAAAATATAAACATCCTAAAGTGAATGGCAAGGAGACGCACATTAAACAACTACTCCAACAGGATTAGACTTCCATTACATCCATGTCATTAATCCCATATGATGCTGAGAACAGATCCTGAATAATTCATAACACATATGATGCTGATTGTTTATTTTCTGGAAAAACAGTTGTGTGTCAATTTATTGTTTAAGTAGTTTAATCTTCTGATTTCATGGTAACAATCAAAATTATGTGAATTGTACACTTTGAGAGCACATAACAAAAAACAGTCTGACCATTGAAACTTTTAATCAGGCTCTCATTAACTACAAAATATTTCATTTTCAGTCAATTTCATATACACCCATTTTCCACAAGAAAGGTGAAGATCCTTAGTTTTTGCATTTGATAAAGATTCTACAAAATCTATTCGAATTAATATTCAATAGAAATAAATAATGACTCCATATTATATCAATTCAACAATACACTTTGATTCTTTGATGAAGATTTATACTAATGTTATGAATTTAAATCAAGTTTATAATGTTCCATGATTTAAAGCACCATCAACTGCCATTTGGCAGTTGATGGTGCATTAAATCATGCAATTGATGCAAATGGCAGTTGATGGTGCATTATTGCAATGTATCAGGTTTTAGTAAAAGTTGTCTGTATTCCATATTTATCTAGTTTAAATCAAGAAGATTAAAAAGATAACTCAGTTTACAGTTGTATTTGTTGATGAAACTTGGGTTTTGTATATACTGTATTATAGTTTACATAAGAATCAATACAATTAACTACTTTATGCTGATGAATGTGACATATGTTGATCTTCTAATATATAATCTTTTCATAAAGGTTAAAATTTGATAATCAAATACATTGTGTTTCCTTTTGATAATAGCTCATTGACAAGTTGGCATGCAAGCAGAATCTGTTCTACTTGTCAGTTAAGATACAGATCATCCTCATTTATGGCTTCTTTATGATCTTGAAACATCCTGTGTGTATCAAATGTCAATTTTCAGAAATCGTCTCCAGAACTTTGTTATTACATTTTCAGATACAACCATAAATCTTTCTATTTTTGAATGCCTTCATCTGTTTCCATTCTTCCAATAACTTTCCATCTCTACTCTTGTCCAGAACATGTTTGATATATCATTACATAATTTCTGCACATCTTGCATTTTTGATTTTTTTCACTGCAGTACAATATAACAAACTTGAGGGGGACTCAGAAACATTTATTAAACTGAAAGTTTGTAATAAAAATGTATAAATTATCAAACAAATGATTAAATATTAAATTGTCATAGAAAACAATGATGCTATTTCTATATGTTACTTATCTCTTTTTTTTTTTTTTTACTTATTTCACATAAATAAAGTAATTCAGTTCTGAATTTCGCAATTTAATTCACCTCAAAATCATATTCTTTCTACATTTTGGTTTCCTACAGTATTCCAGAGGGAGGACCAGAAGGAGCCCTCTAATATATCTCTCCCCTGAATGTCACTTTGAGCCATCTTATCCTCAAGCCTTAAATGAAGAATAAGGTAATTAAGCAAATGACTGTAATTTTTAATTTATTTAATTTAAAATACAATATATGCTCTCAATTTTAGTAATGTCTTGCCCCTATATACCACACTTTTCTTGATAACAACAGAGGTATGACAGTCATTTATATAACTCCTTTCAGGGGAAAATTTTTGAATTAAAATAACATGACTTCTGATGCAAATCAGAAGTTCATATATAGTTAATCAAGGCCTCCTGCTCTAAGCTTTCCATAGTTTTGGCTTTCATCTATCTAACTCCATTCTTGAGATTAAGGAAAGACGGACAGATGGATAATGGTGGTAATATATAGGTCTACAATTTTTTTTCAAATTGCAGTACAATGACAAAATTAAAATAAGCACAAACAACCATCCTTACATCTGTATCTATAACAACTTGTGGCTCTTGTTGAGGTTAGTATACTTGCAACTCATTAGTTGCTTCCAAGCTTGCTCCTCTCCCTTGGATAGTTGTTTACCAGTTGGAATACAATAGCAAAAAAAGGAAAATAAGTTGCAACATAATTGTTAAAGTTTAAAATTTTAAGAGTTCTATCTCAGCAGAATAGACAAAAATAGAACATTAAACGAAAAGTTCATTATAAATATGTTCATAAAACTGAAAGATATCATTGCACTTTCCTGTTAGAATAGTAAAAATCTGTTTGTAATTCTGAGAAGTTCATTATAACAAGATTAATATATTTTTGATAAATTTCACTTATAATTATGCTTCTTATAACTTTTCTTTTATAATTAATTTAGGTTTATTTTAAATATTTTTTTTAACTTAATACATCAAAATTGACACGCGTCTTAAATTTAGATGATATTTCATATTTTTTCCCCACACAGAAATTTGAAAACCTCCTTAATTAAATTACAAAATATCACTGAATATTCAATGTTATGTTAACTCATTGATGTTGAAAATTCTTTACAATAATATAAATTTTTATTATAATTTTATTTTTACACTTAGATAACCAAGTCTAAATTATTCTAATAACCAAATTACAGTGGCAGATAAACGGAGCAATTAGAGGGCCATTCCCAATCAGCAAAACAAGTGACCTGAGAAGTCCAGTAGTGTAATTGGCAGCAGATGTGCAAGGTAGACAAATGTAGCTTCAAGTCCAGCTCAAGTCTACCTTTGGTATGTAATATTTATTGCATTAATTAGCTAGGTTCTAGCCAAAAGTTAATCCAGTACAGTAGAACCTCGAAAACTCGGCTCTCGATAACCCGGCACTCTGGATAACTCGGCCACACCCTGGCAGGGCAAAAAAATCCTTAGTTAATTAATTTTCATTATAGACAGCTTTAAAAGTATAAAAGCTCTCATAAAGTATTTTTCTGAGGTCTGTCTTATCAGGTAAATTACTGTACACAGTGTATTCATTAATTTTCATTTTCATGTAGTAAAGGCTCTATGCCTTCATAAAGGACGTACTTTTCCTTTGTTTAAGGGTATTTGGGCAGTTTATTCTCTGTTATATTCTCAAGTAAACAATACATACAAGTACAGTACTTTCTTAGGAAACACTCGTACTTATTTTTTTTTAACCCCATTCCCGATAATCCGGCATTTTCACAAACTCGGCCACCCTTTGGTCCACATTAGGCCGAGTTTTCGAGGTTCTACTGTATTATCATTATCTTATTTTTCTATATTAATACTTTTATATTAATTTTGCATTTTATATTATTTTGTATTAATAAAAAGTACAAATTTTAATTAATTTATTTATTTTTGTAGTAGATAATTTATTTTACAAAAAATAAACTCTAGGCAAGTTTTTGAGTGCTTAAAGGTGCAAATGAAAAACCAATAATTTTATACACTTAAGTGAACAAACTTCCACATGCAGTTTATATATGTTTAATATACTGCATTAAACATAATGATGATAAAGTAAGAATTACTAACAAGTCTTTTAAAAGCAATGCTACAATTAAAGGAGCTAATTAAAAGAGCTATTTAAAATGCTAATCATGATAATGATTATTATTATAATTGCCTGCCTATAATCTACAAATATGTTAAAAATCTTCCAATTTTCAAGGTGCAAATTATAGGTTGTTGTGTATAATTTTGTGACAATTTTTCCACAAAATTAAAAATTGGTCTAAAATCATTTTATGTTTTGTTATATCAAAAAGTCTTCTTAACATGATAAAATATGATTCTGTCTTGCTGTTGTTTACATGTCAGGTAGCTACAGAAGTCAAAGATGCCAAAAAACCCATTTACTTCTACTTGTGGATGAAATATTAGTGTTATTCATGTATTTGTCCATCCATTAATAAACACCTCTAAGACAATCTCTTGTTATTTTAAGCTTAGCTTAAAATGTTTTAGCTTTAATAATCAGTAATGTTCAATAGCATATTATCTTGACACCTTAACCAAGAAGACTAAAGTCTTCAAGACATGACATGACTCATCTTTTTGACAGTTATATAGAGAAAGTTTGTTTCACTGACATATCCAAAAGTAAAAGAAAGTATATAATGTTAGAGTGTCTGATAATAGAATACTTAATAGTATTAAGTATTTTATTAAACATTTAGAAATATTTCTTTTTAATTAATAAATACTCTTACAAATTGCATTATTTCATTGCTGATATGTCAAGAAAATAAATAAATAATGATGCAAACTTGTAAAATTTATTTGACAATAAATTTTTTGTCAATAAAAAGCTTTTTTCCTATGAATTATACATTGTTATAGATTACAGGATGGAAATTATGGTAACAAGGTAAACTCTTTATAAAATATTGACAGATTTCTTCATGTAAAGTCTCTAGCAATTTTCTACAGTGTATATACACCATGGAAGATTATCCATTACATTACATTACATTAATATTAAAAATACATTAATATAGCATTATCAATTGTAGAAAAAACATTGTTATAGAAAGTCAGGTGAGATATATTCAGTTCTAGATTTAATTATAGAAATTTATATAGATTAACTGTTAACAATAAATGATAATCAGCTGTAAGTATCATAATATTGACAAAAATATAAAAATTAGAGAATAGCAATGATATTGATAGAGGATTGAAATCTGAAATAGAATACATTATTCAATAGATCAATACAGCAGCAGATGACAAAAAGATCTGCATCATTCTGTTTTCTGTTATTGATCACTAATAATACATTGGATGATCATTAATAATGCTTCCTGTTAAAAATACAATGAATAACAACAAACAAAAAGAATTAAAAATGAATATACAAGAAAAATTGTCACAAATTATCATAGATTTACTAAAAGAAACCTTATTTAGTTACCATCCAAAAATCTTTCATTTTTAATTATCTCTTACTTAAATTAACAATTTTAATCATAAACTGGCAAACCTATAACTGTAATTCTATCTATGGCATGTCAAAGTAATGCTCTCTTAGAAGACCACTCTGTTGAATGGTCTTCTAACTTGAAAATTTATAAAAAACTGATTTTCAATAGTATAATTATGTTATATAAAAAAAATATATTGCAAATCTATAAATAAAAATTCAAGACTTGTGAGGATTACAATAAAATGAAAAAAATGATTCACTTATAAAAATGGCTGGTTTGATTTCCAAGTCATACAAGTACTGTACATTGTCATGTATGCCATCTACACTTTTACTAATTAATAAGAGGATCATTCATTTTTGTCAAAATAGTATACACCTTCATGTCAGTTTGACATTATTCCTATCTTTTTTGTAAGCAGAAGGTGTCAGAATGACATCAAATTTTGTGAAAAAAAAAAATGCACACTATTCTGACAATATGAATGCATCTAAGATACATGAGAAAGTCCAAAAATAGTTCACACAAACAATAATACACAATTTAAAAAATATATTTAATGAGTACTTTCACTTGTTACACTCAAACTTTGTCATAAAACATTTAAAAACAACAACAAATCTTTTCCTTTTAAATGTTCTTCTGACAAAGTTTGAGTATAACAAGTGAAAGTACTCATTAAATATATTTTTTAAAACTGTACATTGTCAGTTGTGTGAGCTATTTTTAAAATGTATATAGTCTTAATGAGTTTAAACACCAATACATTTAACAATATAAGAAAAAGGAATGATATTTCAAAATTAATTAAATAATGAATTATTTAATCATTAAAATTACAGACAGATGGCAGCATGAATACATGCAATAATCAACCCATCTAATTGTTAATAAAATATCAAGCTTTATTATATTTAAATTCTTAAAGCTAACCTGAATTCTGCAGTTTATAATTGGATGAAACAAAGGAAAAATATAAAATAAAACATATTAAATAATGCATAAAGAATTACAAATTGAACTTAATCTGAGAATTTTCTTAGAGCATCAATGGGTTTCATCCAAGTTTTCTTGAAATCTGTCCAGTATTTTAAACATTTTGATTGCAACCCAAAATAACTAACATTCTTTAAATCTTGCTAAATAAAAATCCTGTCTCCTATGAGATAAAAGAGAGAGAGAAAGAGAAAAAAAAAAAATACATCTAATATTATAATTTCAATAAATATACACAATTTTAAAGTTTCCAAATACACAATAATAATTGAATTTTTCTAAGAAATTAAAAAAAAAAAATTCATTTTTCACTAAGAAAATTCAATAGTGACCATATAAATTTAGCTTTTGCTCAAAACAGAGAGACTTGCTATAGCTGACTTGCATCAGTTCAGCTGAATCAAAATCTAAAATAATGGTAGTTTAAATAAACCAATATTTAACAATTTAAAGCATAAAATACAACAGAAATATTTATAATTTAACTTTGTTTAGGATTAAAATAATGACCACAGTGTTCACATAAACATTTAATATTTAAAAGAAAAAGAAACTATATATGAATTTTGTGTTGCATACCATCAGCAACATCTCGAAATAGATATAACTACTAAATCTTTAATACTGCATAATCACATTGATGTACATTGTTGGTATGAATTTGACTGTAATATACAGCTGAGTCTTTTTAATTTGAACATGACGGAAGCTTACATTATCAAAAATTTAAATTATTTTTAAAAATTAAATTAGGCAGTTTTATGCAAGTTTCTAAAGTTTATTATATTCCATATTTTTTGGCATTATTATATTTTATCTTTACTTTCTTTTCCACACTTCTATTCACTCAAATTTTTTAAGCTAAAGATAAACACCTTAGCAATTTCCAGCAAAATCTTAATAATTAAAAGCATTTTTGATCTCTTTGATGGATCTGCTTCAGCTGCTTACAATGTTTAAAAAGAACAAATTTACTATGCAGGTTAAAGTTTTCACAATTATAACTAATATACAAATTTTCATGCAGTGAACAATAAGTCTGTATCATGGAAGTTATGCACCCCTACAACTTATTTGTTTTGCAAATTTCAAGGAATTCCAAATGTTTCAGATTATATAAGTTGATTACTAGTTGTGTGATCTTGGGAGTCTTCCACAGTACTGTACCTCTACATCAGTTTCTATTGCACAAAAAGAATGTACAACATATATGTTCTTTTATGATTTGGTTTTAATTTTTGAATCACTCAGATATTGAATGTATTTGTTATTTTTATATGTTGTAAGCAATTGAAGCAGATCTATCAAAGTTGAATAAAATTGCTTTTGATTATTAAAATTTTGCTGAAATTTGTTAAAAGCTGTGTTTTTAACTAAAAACTTGTTTAAACGTCTAAACAAAATACATACAACTCCACTATCTAGAGGTAAAAATCACTAAAACTGTAAAATATGACAATTTCCATATCCGAATAGAATATGAATTTTCAAAGATTCTCTGAAAGCCATACTATCTATAAATGAGATGCTTACGTGCTACTTACTGTTTTTGATGTTTATTTTAGAAGTACAAGATGCACCTTGCTTTAAATTTATCCTAAAACAAATATACTAACTGTATCGTTTAAACATTAATTTAAATACAAATTTCAAGGGTACAGGTTTAAATTATCTAATAATTTGAATTGGTCAATTTCAAATTAATAAGATTCAATAGCATATGAAAATAATCTTTAGAACTCCTTGTAACAAATATATAATGCTCAAATAATGTTCTACAAAATAAATAATATGATATTAAAATAAAATTTATTAAAATACTTTCAACTTTCTAAC